AAAAGATCCATGTACTGATCACCAGAATCCTGCTCTAATGTTATAGATGTATTCTAATTTGGGGCTAACTAAAAGGGTTCTGGTTTTAAACAGTCCTGAGGTATTTGCCCTGCGAGTCTCTGAACATTCCTTCTGTGCCAATGGCGGAGAAAAAAAAAACAACGAATGTTCTGTTTAGGTTGATGGTAATGTAATACCACATTGTGGCCACTAGATGGAGCTGAGCAGCACAGGAAATATATTGCTTGTGCTCCTCGGCTCCACCTAGTGGTCACACTTCAGCATTACACATAAATGAAATTGCATATAAAGAAAATATAAGAATGTTCGCTCGGTGCTGATGGGGGGGCAAAAATTAAAGTTAATGGAGATTCACAGCTCTGCAAATTGTTTATGAAAAGTCCCTTATGTGGGGGGTCTGGTCCCCCCCCCCCCAAAAAAAATGTCAGTACATCCTATACTACATGCTTATTTTAGCTCTTTGAAAAAGCTGCAAGTGCAGGGAAAAAAAATCTTTTTCTGCCAGCAATCCAGCGAGCTGAGGTGACAACACGGCCCCTGCTGGCCTGGAATCCCAAGGAGAGTTGTCAGCCTGACTAGTCTCTGCCAGAAATTCAGCAAGCTGAGATGACAACCTGACTTTTCTCCTGCCCTGGAATCCCAAGCAGAGTTGTCAGCCTGATTTCTGCTAGAAATACAGTGAGCTGAGCTGACAACACGGCCTCTGCTGCTTTGGAACCCCAAGCAGAGTTGTCAGCCTTGCCCGATTCTCCCCTGATAGACTGCAGAACACCCCCCTTTAAGAAATTAAACAGTTCTGTAATTCAGCAGGGGAGACCTCGGACAGGGCTGACAACTCTGCTTGGGATTTCGGCACAGCAGAGGCTGGGTTGTCACCTCAAACAGGAAGTTGAGCTCACTGGATTTCCTGCAGGTGTTTTTCTGTATTTTGGGGGTATTTCTAAAGGGGGGGCGGGGGGATGTGCATGTTTTCTGCTGAGCTGTACTGATATTCTTCCTGTCAGCCCGTGATCCGAGTCCTTTTCATTGCGGACTGCTTTGCCTCATTGGTATATGAAGTGCTCCGGCGCCGGACGTGCAGCCGGTGATTTATAACTGTGATTCATATCTATGTACATATGTGTAGCGTGTTGACTATAGAATATCATTGTGCCGGCCTTGCGGGGCATTATATGATGTCTGACACCCGAGCGATTATTTCATGATAATGTTACTCTATAAAAGCAATATTTTCATGTGGTTTTATTCCCCGTCTCTCCCGTATTTTACTCAATAAAACGTACTGTACTTGGGACTCCGTCTTTTATTTTTGTGCCGTCACAGGAAGTGTGTATTTGGGATTGCTAAAGGGGGGGGAGGGAAAGAGGGAGACACTGGTCCTGATGTCCGCTCACGCGTTTCTGCCTTAGCTGGCCTTAGTCATAGCTCTAAGGCTGGGTAAGGCTGAAACGCTTCAGAGGTTGTCTTTTGTTACAGATGCAGGTGGAATAAAGTTTGATTTTTGGAAGATCATCGTGCGCTGGTGCCTATTGCTCCAGCAGAGGATCATCTGTGCACCGAATGTAGGTTACAAGGATGCATGAGGAGGAGAGTGGTAAATCTACCAATCCCATCATTAACTTGCCCATGGAAGTCACTCCTGTGCCTGTTGGTGTCTTGCAATGCCTCATGGGACTTGTAGTTTCACTGAAGTTTGCCCCCCCCC